ATTAACCTAAAAGATCTCTGTACAGTAAAGGAAACAATAGACAGACTGAAGAGACAACTTTCAGATTGAAAGTATTTGTAATCAATACATCTGACAAAAGGTTAATATTCAAAATACATCAGAAACTCAACAGCAAGAAAATAACCTGATTATAAAGGGGGCAAAAGACTTGAATAGGCAATTCTCAAAAGTACCCATATAAATAGCAAAAGGTCCATATGACAAGTGCTCAGCATCACTAATTATCAGGAAAATACAAATTAAAACCATCATCAGAAATCATGTCAGACTTGTTAAAATGGCTATAACAAAAGGCAACACATAGCAAGGATGTGGAGAAAGAGGAGTTCTTATGTACTTCTGGTGGGAATGTAAACTGATACATGTATTACAGAAAAGAGGATGGTGGTTCAATAGATAGATAAATAGAAAAAGAAAGAAAGAAAGAAAGAAAGAAAGAAAGAAAGAAAGAAAGAAAGAAAGAAAGAGAAAGAAAAGAAAAAGAAAGAAAGAAAGAAAGAAAGAAAGAAAGAAAGAAAGAAAGAACAGAACAGAACAGAACAGAACAGAACAGAACAGAACAGAACAGAACAGAACAGAACAGAACAGAACAGAACAGAACAGAACTACAATATGATCCAGCTATTTCACTTCTGGGAATACTAGGTCTGAAGGCAAAAAATTCATCTCCAAGAGACTATTTGTAAACTATGTCTACTACATTCTTAATTACAAAGCCAAGATACGGGATTCAACCTAAAGTGTCCAACAGATAAATGGATAAAGAAAATGTGGTGTGTATAAAATGGAGTATTATCCAGTCTTCAACAAGGAAATCCTGGGGCCAGGGTTATAGTTCAGTAGCACAGTGCTTGCCTGGCAAGTGCAAGGCCCTGAATTTCATTTTCATTACCAAGAAAGAACATCCTATGCTTTGTGATACTAATAAACTGGAAGACTTTATAGTAAATGAAGCCAGGCACAACAAAAAGATGAATGCCTTCTAAAAAGTTCGAATTTATAGACCCAGATAATAGAATAGTGGTTGTCAGGAGCTGAAGAAATGGGAAGGTCAAAGGGAACTAATTTTGTTATGCAGGAGGATAAATTTTGGAGAGGTAATGCACAGCTTGATGATTAGATTAGTACAATTAGAATTGAGACTTGCTAAGAAAGTAGATCTGAAATGTTCCTGCACACAAATTTGGGACACAATATGTGTAAAAACACAATCTGGACTCTTTTCCTTCTAAGTATTTTCCCTTGTTACTAAAAAGATTTTTGGAAACGATTTTAAACACTGTACAATGACTCATAAAGATGTAAAATAAATTAGCCTTTCTTCTATTAACATTTACCTACTTTTCAGTTTTCACTAATATATCTAGCTCTCCAGTATATATTTTTGAAGGCAAATCTCTTGTGAGATTTTTCTTATTTCTTAATGTTAGACCTCAAGAGAGGAAAAAAGGTAGGTTAAGAATATGAAGTTATGAACATTTTTGATATAGAATTATCTAATTGTTTGAAAGGTAACCTGCAGTTGCAAAACAGCACAGGAAGGTCTCAAATTTGTTCTCTTGCTAACATTTATTTAAACAAAACCTTCAATAAGTCACATAAATTTGATAGGTCAAAGTTGTATCTGGGCCGGGGAGATGGCTCAGTAGAATAAGCGCTTCCCTGGCAAGTGCAAGGGCCTGAGTTCAATCCCCAGTTCTGAAAAAAAGAAAAAAAAAAAAGTTGTATCTGGTACCTTCTCTCCTTTGATAGCAAGGTTAAACACTGAATCCTTCATTCCTCTCTTCTCTTCACCCTGACCCCTTACTGCTATTTCACAATACTACTTTTCCAGTATCCTTGACTAGAAAAGCTTTTCTGACTATGCAACAGCATTTTGTCCTTAGCTGCTTGAATGTCCTTCAGTCACCTCAAACTCAGTATGTCCTGAGTTAAACTCATCTTCACGCCTACGCTTGCTTCAGTTTTCGGTTGATGGCATCATCAAATACCAGGAAGCCTAGTCAGAAACCTCAATCTCTTAAAGACTCCTTTCGTCTGTTGCCACATGTGAACAGTCCTAAGTTTTTCCAGTTCTCTCAGAGCTCTATTCCCACTCTTCTCTGTCTCCACTGCCACTGCCCTATTCAAGCTTTACTGTAAAAAACTCATTATTTTCCCTGCCTTCATATCATCTACTACACTCTTACACACTGCTGTCAGAGGGATCTTTGTATAAAGGAAAGCTGACCACGTTCTTGCCCAGCTTCAACTCTTGACCTTCCCATCCACTCTCTTCTTTCCAGAATTATGGAACAACCAAAATTACAATTTCTGAGCCCTTTTTCTGCGAAGACTCTGTGCTTTACTGTCTTACGAATTCCAATTAATCATTAAGAGTATGGAAGCTTAACAACTCTTGTTGCATAGGTCCTGCTTTACCTTGGTCTTAACCATCCAGTAGAAAAGTATGAAGACGAAATATAAGAAATAAAGCCATGCTGTTAAGTTAAGCTGTGAGGGACTCAGGTCAATAATTTCTGTCATTGCCAGTTAAACAGAAGACCCAATGCTATTATGGGCTACTGGACTCTTTTAGAATATTTTGCTGAGTTTACACACCTATAATATTCAATAACGGAACTTAGGAAAAATGGGGTACACCGATGAATGTCCATTCTGTATCTGTGTATTCAAAGTGGTTGGGGTAGATATATAGTTGCATTGTCTTAATGAATAGAATGATTTGTTCTAATGGTGTTTGTAAATAGGATCACAAGTCCGCATCTTGTACAGCAATTAACCACTAAGAAGAATATATGCAGTGTTATATTTGTTGAAACTGTACTTCCGATTTGATTTGAAACTGTCTCATTGCTATCTGTTTATCAATAAAACTGTAGAAAAAAAAAAACAAAAAAAAAACCTAAAAAAAAAAAAAAAAGAGTATGGAAGCTTAGTGCTGAAGACAGCTCAGCAGAATAAGTGCCTGCTAAGGCAAGCGCAGGGGCTGGGGTTTAATCCCTGGCACCACATTCTGCGCTGGCTCTGCCCCTGGGGCACGCTGGGCTGGCGACTGAGTCCAGGCTTGGTGGTGGTGTACACCTGTAATTCCAGTGATGGGGAGGCTGAAAACAGGAGGATCAGTACAAATAGAGATGGGTAGTGAGACCCTGCACAAGAAAAAGTATGGAAGCTTATCAGAACACCCCTCTATCACTTCCTTTATACATTAATTAACTTTGTATGGAGCTTGTGACTTACCATCACAATTCTGCCTTTAAAAAAAAAAAAAAAATTTCTTAGGCCAGCCAAATAGCTCAGTGGATTGGGGTTTGCTGTGCCCTGTGCCATGCCAGCTCCGCCCCTGGGGCGCACTGAGACAGTGACTGAGACTGGGTGTGATGGCATGTGCCTGTAATCCCAGTGCTTGGAAGGCTGAAAACAGGAGGATCACTACGAGTCTGAACTGTGTAGTAAGACCCTGTAGGCTCTGTACTCAAATACATTAAAAAAAAAAAAACAAAAAAAAAAAAAACTAAACAAAGAACAACAAAAACAATCTCTTGCTTACTATGCTTTTTATTCCTAGCCTATGCAAAGTTCTTGGGACAGATCAGGACCTCAATGTATATAATCATATTTCTTTTTATATTATTTCTGATAGAAACTTAATTTCTTTACATCCCCAGCCTCTCTAGCCCTTTTTTGTATTTTAGTACAGGGCCTATAGGGTCTATGTAGATCAGATTCGTAGTGATTCTCCCGAGTTCAGCTTCCCCCAAGAGCTGGGTTTACAGGCACATGCCACTGCACCCAGTCTCAATCGCCATCTCAGCGAGCCCTGGGGGTGGGGCTGGCACAGCATGGCATGGCACAGCATGTGGTGGATCAAACCCTAGGCACTGTGTCTGCCTAAGCAGGCACTTTAGTTGGCTGGGCTATTTGGCCAGCCCTTCTATTCCCCATTTCTAAGGCTGACAAAATCATTGTAATATCATAACAGGCTTGGGCACTTTTTCAAACCAGGGCACAGTTCAAAATTATTCTTCTAAAATATACCCAGTCACGTTACTTAAATCCTGAAAAACAACTTTATTACTCATGTTATGTAGATGGTTATTTTCCAAAAATATGGAAACTGTCTACTGAGAGTTAAAACTAAGTAAGTCATGTATAATGAGAGAAGATATACTGCCCACTAAATCCAAGGTGTATAATATGGAAACACTTTGGTTATAGTATTCAGCAACTTTTAGATTCTAGCTGTTGCGTTTTCAAAAGCTGTCTCCTACACACTTCTTCCCTATCCTTAATACTCATCCTAGTCACCAGTCCTTAATGTACTGTGAGAATTGAATGTGTTGATGTATATATTTAAAGCACTTACTATAGTGTCTAACATGTAAATAAATGTTAGCAATTACTTTGTTTGTTGAATAATGCTCTAGTCCAAAGAGTTCCAGAGGAAACAATGGTAAAAGCATGGATAAAAAAGAGCTAGAGTAAACACACCAAGGAAGAGTACACTTGTACACATACATATGTAGAGAGAGAACTAAAATTCAGCAACCCCTCATTTGCCCCATTTACTCATTTTCATATTTAGTACTAGCTTACTGAAGGTGCAGTACCAAAATATTCCTAGCATGAAATGTAAAATGATTAAGCTAATCAATGTATACAAGATAGAGAAAGGTTTTCCACTGCCTTTGAACAAAGACAAATGGCTCTCCCTAGATAGCTTACCAAAAAGGAGATGGAAAAAAACCTTATTTCCCTTGTGGTCTTTGTTTTTTCAAAGTGTAGTTGAAATTTGAGGTACTCTTGATTCACAATCTTGTGGATCTGAACTGTTGAGAAAGTTGAGCTTGCCTTTTCTCCCCCAACATTCAGCTTCAATGTAAACCATACCAACCTTAATGTAAATATTATTCAAATATTAACTTTATAAAAATAGACACAAGCATACTGTTTTTTATTGTTAAATTGTTATGATACCATATGCAGAGCAAAAAGGGGTAAAGGAAATGATCTACTTATACATTCTTACTTTAATTCTTAAATAATAAACAAATGATCAAATAGGCAAGGAAAACTGAGGCAACGGTTTTCTTATGAATCTTCTAATTTTTCTAATTATAGAAAACATGCTCAAAAACTTTAGACACTTTTTCTACATGTGATATAATATTAATAAACTGTTTACCTCAATAAATTGGAAAACTCCCTCAGTATTAAGGACAGTCTATTATCTGTCTAATGCAATTATAATTTAGATATTCCATAGACATCAAAAAATAAAGGGATGGAGTTTAAATTTTCCATATTGTTAAGACTTTTAATGTTGAGTTTCTAGCTCCAGAATTGTCCATTCTCCTTGAGGTGAACAATCTTCGGAGGAAAAACTAGCCATGGTAATACTTGTTGAGGAATTATCTAGTGGAGATGATAGTTCACTCCATCTGTTCAAAGTGTCAACATGTGCTATACCCTGAGGTTTTGAGTTGTCTCGTGCTAAAAGGAGTGTTTGATTGATTAAATACTGTGCCAAATTTAGGTCTTCAGGAAGAGAACTTGTAATATTTAAGTTTGAATCCTGTTCAGAGAGCAGTTGCTTTAGTAGTGTCCAATCTTGTTTTGCAAAATATTGATTATCTTCTGTTACATGTGTTTCAGATTCCATTTTCTGCTCAAATGCTTCTGTTATATCCATCTCATATATTGGAGAGAGGGTTTTTGAAGGCCGATGGTCATACATGCAGGTTTGTGCCAGTGTATCACAATCATCTATGTCTCCTGAAATAATTCATAATACTACACAATGTAAAAATTGCACATGTCGGTACCCCTCAGGGTTTTGAAGAGCAATATTAATACAATATAACAATGATAACCCCCTCAAAAAAGCCACAAAATGGGAAAAATAACATTTATACAAAATCGACAAAATTTTTGAGGCATTTCTTTCTCTATATTAAAAAAATTCAAGGGTAATTATTTAGCAGCAAAATCAACATAGGCAAGTAACAATAATTTGAAAGCTTTGATACAGAAAGTAACAAATATTTAAACAAACACAGAAAGTGCACATATATCTAATTCACTACAACAGAAATTTGAGGAGAAAAAAATTATTTAATGGTAACTTTTAAAGTAAGTCAATTCTGAAAGGGGGAAAATACATTTATCGAAAGGCTTATTTCTATATTGCACATGCAAAAGAGGATGCAAGCAAAGACAAACAAACAAAAAGTACAACTTCTAAAGATCTATTCTTATGAGTTTGCTGAATAGGGATTTATTGATCAGTGTCTTAGATGTTATAAAACACAATAGTTGCTCAGTCAGCTACTACTGCATATTTCAAATGTGGGTCCTTAGTATATTAAGGAAGACAAACACATAAAACAATTAAACAGAAAATCATCTAAGCATATGAAATAAGCCTGGGCTTTTTTCATATATTATCATTACTTCTAAATATAATCTCTTTTAGGAAATTTATTTTTTACTTGAAAAATTTAGAATAGAATTATATTGAACCTGAAAGCTTAATCTCTGTAAAATGTATATAAATTGTAATATCTAGTTGGTAAAATAGTTCAGTGCTTTGAGTTACATATTACTATAGTTATTGCACAGCCCTCTTAGATATATACTAGTAAGTCCATAAATCATATTCAATGTATGATAAAATTTCTAGTAGTCAAGAATTATACTAAATTAAACGTAACTAAATATTAACAAAGTTTTTCTCTTTGTTCTTTCATGTAAATTCTTCTAATAGATTAGCTCTAGTAAACAACTAAAATTTTTACTAGATAATAATTCTTACTAGGATTTTAAGAAAACAATAAAGGATGAATAGCTACTTTTCATGTTATTAAGAAATTTTAGTATTTATCTTAATACCATTGCTTAGGTAATTATTCTACCTACCTAAAATATAACATTCAGGATTACATACAACTTTAAAATTCTATAAATGTATTTTTTATGCATTTAGCATTTCTATTTCTGTACATTACCTGCAGATAAAGCACTATTAGCTTTTTCAGTAGCTGTAGAATGGCTTTCTTTCACTTGACCTTCCTGAGGAAGAATATGACTCTGCAAGGAGTCTAGATATTTTGAAGAGGTGTTCTTTGGTATGTCAGAATTGGGTTCTCTTTGATGAAGCTCCAAATGACAAGGTCTTTCTTGAGATTTTATCTCAATATCCATGGATTTGCTGCACTGCTGAAAGTCATTACCAGTATCTCTTCCACTGTGTCCTTTCTTGTCTTCTAGAAAAAGTTGTCTGTCTCTTTTGGATAGGACACCTAATGTGTTCTTTTTGTCTGTGGCTGAAGTACTCTGTTTATCTTTTCTTGAAGAGTCAATGCTACTAAGGCCCAAGAGAGTGCTTTCAGTTTTATATGTACTATTGCCTTTATCTTGCTGTTTACATTTTAAAATACTATCTTCAGTTTCTTGGGGGAAATGGGGATAACAGGTCCTTTCAGGATGTTCATGAGAAACACCATCAAAAACATCAGAAGGTGAAAGAGGATCTATAGATGGCTGAAAGGGAGCATGAACTTCCCCTTCATCAGATCCTAGTTCTTCACACTCATCAACTGAAAGTAAAACTGATCTTTTAAATTTTTTAGTTGTAGAAAACTCACGACTTTCATTTTCAGTTCCATCTTCAAAAGCTAGGTTAATTATTCCATGAAACTGCTGAGGAGAAGGATTAATTACAGAGAAATTGTCTACATTTTCAGTTTCAGATCTTTCATCTTCTGTTTCATCTGCTGAAGAAGAAACTTGATCTATTTCCTGAGTAAACTGGAGAGTGCCTCGTGGAATGTTGTCTTTTTCCCTAGGGTGGACCACTGTAGACCGAGACCAGATTTCTGGCTTTTTTCTAGGAATCTCATCATCACTTGTTGAATTAACTTGGAAAAGATCATTATTACTTTGCTTTTTCAGTTTTACTTCAATTCTTAAATTACTATCATATATCTTTAATTCTTCAGGAGTACTAGTATCACTGCTACTTCTTCCAAGAAAGTCATGGCACAGCATAGTGCCACATTTAGAAACACCCCTGTCGTTGGGCCCATCGTCATCCTGAGACCCTCCAGCATCATAGTCTTCAGATCTGGGCTTTATGTCATCAGAGGACGTAGTAGCGCTGCCACTGTCCGATTCAGGACTCTCTCTTTGAGGCAGCACATTTGTATTCAAATTCCAGTGACCTGTGAATGGAACTTCTAGAGTTTCATGGTTCTCTAGAGTTTCTGACTTTTCCATATTTTTAGCAAAAGTTTTTCCTGATGGTTGTTTGGAAAAACATTTGGAGTAAACATCTGAGTAAGTGGCAGCATGTTTGTCTTCCTGCATAGGAGAGTCATCAAACAACTGATGAGGAATGGTTTTTTCTTCTATATGAATTTTAGATTTTCTGTCATCTTGAACAGAATTTAAGGTACTATTTGTCCTTTCAGGAACATAAGATAAAGCTTCTTTCATACATTGCATATTTAATTTTTTGTTTTCATCTTTTCCTCCTATTTGTTTCTCTCTATCTGATATTAAATGAATTTTGATTGCATTTGTTGAATCTAAATCACAAACTGGATTAGAATTTAAGGAGTTTTCATTTGTATTTGAAACTGTGGATTTTAGAACAGTGATGCTATAAAATTCTGAATCTTTATCACTCCCATCAGAACGGTTATATGTTTTAGTTGCATTGCAATGATTTATGTCTTTGTGACTGGGAAATTTTGTTTCATTTTTATCTAAACAAATCTGTTTTACTTTTAGTTCATGTTTTATTGATTTATCCAGTTTTGGGAAATGTTGGCATTCTAACACCAACTTGTCTTTTTCTTGACTGCTCAATAGCTTTTGTGGGTCAGGTCTGCATGATGACTGGAATGCTTCTGTATCACTGATTTCAGATGTGAGATTAATTAGAGATCTCTGAGGTTTTTGTTCAGAAACACTGTCTTTGTTGTTATTGCCATGTACATCACGAAGGATACTCTGTTGAACAGATGTCTCACTTTTTAAATGTTTTTGAGAAGACTGAGTTTTCAGTATAACTTGTCCTGGAAGCATTTTTTGTTTTGAATCTTTATTATTCAGAGTTTCACCTATCTTTGGCTGATTTAGATTTTTAGGTATTGACACCATTTTTACATTACCCTTGGGTGTATTTATCTGCCCTTGCTTAACAATTTTTCTCTTAGACATCTGTTTATCTGTAGTTATACTGTGGTCCAACTTTGTCATATTTTCACTTGATTGTCTTGAAGAGACTGAAGATTTTACTGAATGTGGTGACTCTCCTGGGGATCCTAAGAAAAGAAAGTTCAGAAAAATACTCTCCAATTCTGAATGCAATTCACTATGTTAAATTATTTTTAAAAAATTAAAATCAATTTGAAAATGAAAGGATAGTATCTATGATTAGGAATCAGTCACATGATAAAAATGTTTATAACTATAGAAGATAGTTAGGGGTATAGATCAATGGTTGAGCTCCTGCCAAAATATGAGGTACTAAGTTTAACTTCCAACAATAATCCCCCTTCCCTCCCTTCTTCCCTTTCTCTCTCCCTCTTATCCCAGAGTTTTAGCAAAATTTATTACAATAGAATCTCTCTTTCCCAAGTAAAGGGCCTTGATCCTCATGCCAAATTGGATTTGCATAAATATATGACAGTGAAAATCTGATTTTTTTTTACACTAAAGAAGAAAGAAAGGCCGAGAGATAGCTCAGCTGCGTAAGTGCCTGCCTGACAAGCACAAGGTCCTGAGTTCAATCCCCCATACCACAAAAAGAAAAGAAAAAATTAACTACAAAAGGAAGAAAGGTCTTCCCTTTAAATCTTTTTTTTTTCTTTGTGGGAGGTGGGCTGTGTTCTACATAGTGAAAAAGGAGAATCAAACTAAATAGAAAAATATAAAATAGTTAAAATTGTTAGACTTGTTTTATTCAAACATGAGTAAAACCATCTTATTTCTTTTAATCATGAATCATTGAGGTTAACAACTTAAATCTGTAGTGGAAATCAGAACTGCTAGTTACAGGGCACAGGGGATTAATTTTGGGAATATATTTTTATTTATGCTTGTTAAAATCTTACAGATGATATTTTGGGTATTCAAATCTACCAAGTAGAATGATAACTTTTTTTTTCAGTGCTAGAAATTGAACTCAGGACCTCATGCATGCTAGGTAAGCATTCTACTTCTGAGATAAAAGCCTTATCAAATACTTCTAGATGATAAATTTTTATCTAATAATAGGATATGAGTTACTTCTCTCTGCTATATTTTAATTGGATTTCAGTATTTACAATATAAATAAAATTATTTTTAGAATTATACAAACTGCTCTTACATATGTGAATGTTTAGTGAATAAAGAAAAGTAATTTTTTAAGTCACTTACGTACTCCAATACTCTTAGATCACTGAAAGACAGTGGGTACAGCAGATTAAATAAAGGGAAAATTCTTTCTACCTCCATATTATGGCTGTCTGAACTATATCTTATTTTATTTAATCCTGAAACTTGAGAATATATTCATTTTTCAGTGCTGGGGATTGAACCCAGGGCCTTAGTACTCTATAACTGAGCCACACTCCACCCCTCCTATCATTATTTTAAAAAAACACTTTAATGCTGGGTTTTTAGATGTAATTTCTAGAGTTCACAATGAAGCAACATAGGCATTTCCTCTACATTGTCTCTAAAATGTAAGTAAACTAGTGATTCCCTTAATTATTTCTAACACACAGGACAATAAAACCCCCAAACACCAAAATATTTGTCTAAAAGCATAAATTCTCACCTCTGTCATGTGAAACAAATGTAAAATTTTAAAAAAGTGTTAAGCTTTGTTCATCTGTTACTGAAGTTTTAAGTCAGTTTCAGTTAACCAACTTATATAAGAAAATAATACTCATGATACCCAGGACTATTACAGCTTACCTTGAGTTTTAGCAAAATTAGATGGGGCACTCTTTGCCCTTTGCTGTCCACTGCCATTACTCCTTTTCTTCAAAACTGCCTGTGGTACTGGATCACTGTATCTTTTGCCACTGACCTTCTTTAACACACTAAGAAAAATGATTGTATTCCACATTATAGTAAAATTCCAAAACATCAACATTTAAAATATTTATACATGAATTTTTTTTTCCTCAAGAAATAAAAAAATGTCTTTTCTGAAAATAGAGAAACCATATGTTCAGTATTAAGAGGATAGGCCAAGTATAATACAGCAATCCATACTCATGTGCCATAATTATAAAGGGAGCTAGTCTTCTAATATACTGCATTAATCATCATTCTGCATAGACATTTTAATAAGCCAGAAAATCATTTTAAAGCTAGGTGTGGTGGCACACCCTACAATTGCAGCGCTTGGGAGGCTGCGGCATGGGGCTGCCATGTGTTCAAAGCCAGGCTGAAGCATACAGTGAATTCAAGGCCAGGCTGAACTACAAAGCAAGACCCTGTCTAAAAAAAAGAAAACCATTTTAAAACATCATTGTATAAATACATTAGATTTCTCCACAAAGATATTTTAGCAATATTTTGCTACAAATAAGTATATTCAATAAGTCCCTGATACACAAATATTCAGATTGTAAACTTTCACACATACACTGTATAAGAGTCACATGTGTACTGTATAATTCTCACGTTGATGAATTAGGAATGAATTCAATTTATGAACAAGTTCTCCTGCAATGGAACTCATTCATAAGTTAGGGACTTACTATAATAATTGAAACTTTTAGAGAACAGATTAGCTAACAGTTAGCTAAGTTAGCAGATTGTTTTATAAAATAAAACAATGAAGACCTACCTATTATTTACATCAGTGTCTTGTTCAGGAATACTTTTTTTATGGGAAGTCCCATTGGTAACTCTTGAAATAGGTCGAGATTTTACTGCTATAAAGTAAGAAAAAGTGAGTCATGACACTGAATATATTAAATATGAAACAATTCATTGTAAATTCACTAGTTAGACACTATTAACAAAATTAAGTGTTAAAGTGGGTAGGACTGGTTTTCCTCACTTTTTTTGGCATTTAAAAATAATTCAGTCTCCAAAGGATCATTCTTTCTAGGAACTTTAACTGTGAGGAGCTATTAAAATTAGAGTGAAGAAGTAGGAGTATAGCTCAGTAGTAGAGCACTTGCCTAGCGTGTGTGAGGCACTAGGTTCAGTCCTCAATAGTAAAAATCAGAGTGATAAAACCCACCTACAGAGGAAGTTTTGACACCATCTACACTGTTTTTCACCATCTGTCCTGGAGAATCACAAGGGGATAGCTTCTGACCAGAAGACTTCTCTTCTCCTACTGCTCCATTTTGTTTTGGTTCATTGAGACATCCAGTGGAAGTCAGTAATTCCATACTTGAATTTGTAGATCTGCTGGGTCCTGTGATACTGAGGCATGGAGACTCTTTACCTGTTGCTTTTTTTAAAGGCTTTACTTTGGGCTGCACATTTAAGTTTCCAGTGAGTATCTTGGGTCTGGCACCTGTAACTTGCCCTTCCTGACTTCTTACACCTTTTCCATTTAATGAATTACTTGATGCTGCTGTTCTTTCCACAACTTTAGATGACAAGTTTTCCAACTTTGCATTATCATTATTTTCTGTTTTGGGCTTTATTATAGTTTTGGGATTTCCAGAAATATTTTTTTCCCCAGTTCTCAATCCTTTTGTAACCTTAGATGCTATTTTTGTACCATCCTTTTCCTTTAAATCATTATGCTTTAAAGTTTTACTCATAGTACTTCTATTAACATTTGATGAATGTCCAGATGCTCCTAATCCATCAGATTTCATCTTTTGATTAGTAGAGAGATAACTCCAACACTCTTTCTTGTTATTTTCTCTCCAAGATTTGTTTTTTATAACACCAGAGTCAGAAATGTGTCTCTTTTGCTACAAAGAAGAAAAAAAATCATCATTTTTAACTTGCTTGAAGTTTTTGGCATATAATTAAATAAGCCAGATTTTCAGAAGAAAAAATAGCAAAGTTCATATTTAAAGTGATTAAAAATTTGAATTATCTTTTACCATTTTGATTACAACTTTGCATCATGGATCGTGTATCTTAATTCTGAAATACAGCACTAAACACTTATTTAAAAGGCATACTATTTTAATTTATGAAGTTATGGAAGAGATTAAAATCTAAAAGGTTGGGTTGGGGAGAGAGCTTGGTGGTCTAAGTGCCTGCCTGGCAAGCACAAGGACCCAGGTTCGATCCCTGCTACCGCATGCTGTGCTGGCCCTGGAGCTCCAGATGCCAAAACCAGGCATGGTGTTGCATGCCTGGAATCCCAGTGCTGGCAAGGCTGAGATAGGAGGATCCACCTGTGAGTGTGTAGTGAATAAATAAGTAAATAAATAAATGATTAAAACCTGAGGGTTCAGAATGTCTTGACTACATAACAATATCCAAGAATTTTTAAGGGTTCATTCCAGATTCCATGTTAAATCATTTTTATGTATCATTTCACTTAATCCTAACAATAGTCCTATGAAATCACTCTTGTAGCTGCTACTTTTCTAAGCAAGAAACTAAGGCTAAAAGAATATGTGCAACTTACCCAAGATCACATTCTATTAAGGACAGAATAAGGACCTGAGTTCATAATTTATTTCCTCAAGGAGCTAGTCGGGGCAAGGGAGATGGCTCAGTAGAATAAGCACTTGCCTGGCAAGCACAAGGGTCTGAGTTCAATCCCTAGTTCCACCAAAAAAAAAAAAAAAGGAACAAGTCATCTAAACAGTACAATGTGAAGATTTTCATACAAAGTTCTCTCTTTAGCCTATTTCAAGTATCAGAAACTTTATGTTTAAAGAATTAATCCTCTGTGGTAGGACAGTTTATTTCTTGGAGTTCTCATTTAAGAAAGCAAAACAAAACAAAACTCTGAGGGAATAATGCTTAAAAAGACTGGTTTTTAGGGCTGGCCAGATAGCTGAGCAGAGTAAAGCACCTGTTTAGGCAGACACAGGGACTGGAGTTCAATCATAGACCCATCCCTGGGGTGAGATGACAGTGAATGAGACTAGGCGTGGCGGTGCATATCTGTAATCCTAGTGCTTGGGAGGCTGAAAACAGGAGAATCACTACAAGTCCAATCTGTGTAGTGAGACCCTGTTGACCCTGTACTAAATACAAAACCAACAAACAAAAACAACAACAACAACAAAACAAAACTGGCTTTTCAAAAAAATCAGATGGTAGTCCAATATTGGCTGCATGATAAAAGGGAGAAAAACAGAAGGATACTGAAGACAGACAAAATGCAATATTGATTAAAGAGGTCTTTCTAAAGTTGGTAGGAATTTTAGAATAAAAAGTAAGACCATATTGTCTTTTATGTAAATACAGAGATGCTTTGTTCTTTTCTTTGGCAAAGCCACATGAAAATGTAGAGAGCTGTCCAAATAGCTCAGCTGGTTGAAGCACCTGCAAGCAGGCGCAGGGGCTGGGAGTTCAACCCCCAGGCCTGCTGTGCCGGCCCTGCCCCCAGGGGCAAGCTGAGACAGCAATTGAAACTAGGCGTAGTAGTATGTGCCTGTAATCCCAGCACTTGGGAGGCTGTAAACAGGCGGATCACTACAAGTTCAATCTAGTAGTGAGACCCCAAATACCCTGTAGACTGTTCCCTAAAATACAAAAAAAGAAGAGGGGGGAGAGGAGGAGGAGGAGGAGGGGAGGGGAGAAGAAATGTAGAGTTATGAGGTACCTTTTCTATGTAAAACCCTTGGCACTATGCTTACTACACACTAAGGACTGGAGAAGATGCTTGTGATTGTGGGTAAAATTGAGCATATAACTGATACACAGCTCAAAGTCTATTTTTCAATATGAAAGCTTCTATAAATCACATTAAAATTGTCTAAGTTAAATGTGAATGCAGATAACATATAGATAAAATTATTAATAAAAAACACAACTAAATTAAAGAAAATTGAGCTGTTAAAGGAATCACTAGTACTGCCCAGGATTTGGTTCTAATGGATCTAGGATATTTAAGAAGTTATTACCATCTCTGGGCTTCAATTAGTTTGCAGAGTGGAGAACAGACATCTTCAGAGCAGTGTTCTACAATTTTGATAGATAATAAATGTGAAGCCAAGATTTGAACTCTTCTATATATCCAGTATCTGTTTTAGTATACCACTGCCTCCCTCTGAAAACTTAGGATTCTACATCTTTTCCATTGTTGTTAATTGAGAAAGCACTTAGAAAATCTTCAAGTCAAGAATTTAGGAAGAACAATGAGAATTTGCCCTATTTTCTTGTGAGGCAAGGAAAAAGAAAAGGCCTCATTGATCACGGGGGAAAGGAAGGTAGATAGGCTAATCCTTAAAAACAAAACTACCCCACAGAGATTACAGTGAATTAAGCACATTTAAAAAAACCTCCTTAGGTACTACTTCTGGAAAAAATGGGGAATTGTATAATTTAGTAGAGAGGGAGTGTTCCATAGTTGAATAGTTAGATATTTTAGATGAAATAATTTGAAGTATTTTTTAACCGTAGTTCTCTCGGCACTTTTAAGGTTTATTTTTCATTACCAGGGTGTAAGAAGAGTTATGATATGTAGTAATTCTCAAACTTAGTTAATGCTAGATGTTCTTTGTTAGGACATGCGATGAAACTAGTACACTGTAAAACATACTCTACAAAATAGTGATAGGAGATATACTGAGAAAAAAACCCATGCCTCAAAACTTTCTCAAGACATTTAGAATTTGACCCCCACTCTTAAGCCATGAAAGCTCAGTTATGGCTTGGGGTGTGTTATTTTGTATCTACTGAATGAAAAGGAAAGAAAACAGAACTCCCTATTTCAAGTCTGCAAGGGCAGTATATTCTTTGCATTCCAAACTGAAACTCTAATGTACCTTTCCATTGTAATGCACATAGTAGGTTAGCATAATTTTATATTGTAAATATATTATTGATAATATAAGCAGCTGTAAGTTAGTTTGGCATTCTAACCATTATTAATAACATTTTGGAGAAGAATATGTATTTTAGGCTATAAAAGATGTAATGAGTATGTGTGGTTAACAAATTACATGGCATGCTTGAGAGGCTGAAAACAGGAGGATCACTACTAGTCCAATCTGTGTCGTGAGACCCTGTAAACCCTGTACTAAATACATAAAAAGAAAAAAATACACAGCATAATTTACCATATTAAACTTTAAAGTATATAGTGCAGTAATGTTAACTACATGCACTTTTTTGTATAACAGATCTCTAGAATATTTGCATGTTGCAAAACTGAGACTGTATATCCACACACCAAGTATTATGTGAATTATTTAGAAAAATAAACACTGAATTAGGCCTAGAATTTTAAAGATTTCCTAACCTACTGGAATAGCTCCAATGCATGACTTGCCAAAAAGGTTTTCAAGGATGTGAAAAAAGTACATAATTTTCATGACAGCTGGATATAAAAATTTGTATCAACCAGGCATGGTGACACGTATCTGTAATTCTAGCTACTCCGGAAGCTAAGGCAGGAAGGAACTTAAAAGTTCAAGGTGGTCTGACTCCAGTGATAGAGATACTTACTATCAAAACTAAAAAAAAAAAAAAAAAAAAAGAACCGGGAATACATCTCAACAATCCCCGAATTTAATCCCCTAGTTAAAAAAAAAAAAAAAATTCGTTAAATATTCACTTTTAAAAGACTCAAGCTGGAGACATAGCTCAGTGGCATAAGTGCCTGCCTGGCAAGTGCAAGGTCCCGAGTTTGATCCTCGGTATAGAAAACAAAAAACAAAAAACCCCCTCACACTTAAAAGACTCAATGTTTACTGCCATTAATAATTAGTTTTAATTAATAAACAAACAGACTTTAAAATACTTTGAAATAGAAAATAACAAAAGTTGATGTATTTTCTCATTTAGACTTGTAAAATTTAGAAAGTTTACCTGAGAGCTACTGAATATAGGCTTTTTCCCAAGTCTTCGGTTATCACCTTTGTCAAAAGCAGCTGTAGAAAGAAACAGCAATTTATTTTTATGGGAAGCATTACTATAGAACTACAAAAATAGAGAAAGCTAGTGACAAGAGGTTATATAGTATTTTGATGTAAATTTTGAAAAATCTATCTAGTATACAAAAGCAATTCCTTGTTTTATTCTAGAATTTTAAAAAAATCTTATTTTCAATCTTATCTCTAGTTCCTATAATTTTGTTTTTAGAATTACTAAAAAATGTACAATCTAAGAGAAAAAATATATTTATAAAAATTTCTCAGTATTTTCTCAAACTGTATATTTTTAACTCATTTCACTTAGTTTCCCAAATTTCAAAAAAATTAGAAATTGTGGCTGATGTGAATTTTATTGCCAATTAAATATGAGAAAATATTTATACTAAGAAATATAAAGATATTCCATTGAAGTTAACTAAAAGTATTTTCTGGCTTTGCCAGTGTATCATGAAGAAAAAAGAAAGAAAAGAGAGAGAAAAAAAGGGATCTTGAAAATAAAACAAGAAGCAATCCTCAAACTCATCATTCTTTTTATAATTAAATAAACATACTTAAATGAAATATATTTCTTCCTTTTTATGTTATGGAACTTTAAAGGCATTTTTCCAAAATCTGACTTCTTAAAAATAACAGCTACATACATGGTAACTCTACCATGTATTTTTCAAAATCTATATTCTACAGATATGTGCTCTAATACAAAGTAAGATCTTCAAAATGGCATTATAAAGACTGATCTGCAGTAATCAAATATCTATGCAAGAACATATAGTAAGGCATTAATAAAATTTTTCCTCAAGGTCAGTAACTCAAACAGAATACAAATAATGTAACAAAAAACAACCCAGGATTTGGGCTTTGTAATGCAGTAGTTAGCATAAGTCAGGATTCATTATAATTCAACATATTTAAGCTTTTCAAATATTACATTGATGTAATAAAGTGAAATATTCGTTCCAATTATTATCTGTATTAGCAATGACATTTTGTTTAGATATGTGTGTATATAAGTGTATTTGGATGTAGTTTTAATCAACATTTTGAAGAATTAAAGAAAGTAATGTTCAATTTAAATATGAAATCTTCTAAAATAGAGAAAAACAAAGTTTGCTACCAATCATAAGAGAGCTGAAGGACACCTACTCAAGGAATGCTGCTCTTGTTTTATTTCTTCACACTGTTCAGATTTTTTAGTAGACTATCACATAAAAATTCAGTACAGAAATAGTCACAAGCAAAAATATTTCATATTTTAAAGATCTATTTTTTGTTGTTTAAAAAATGGAGTTCCTTTGAGAAGCGCTCTCCACATCTAGCTGCACTATCAAGTTGTATTTATATTGCAAGATAGTGTGTTAATTTTGATTATTCCACTACACAAAATACCTATGTATTATCAAAAATATATTTTTATCACACATGGGTTCCATATTTGATAGTACAAAAATATTTACTTCATAAAACATGGTCTTTAAGCTGTAACTGTTTTTGAAAGTATACTTACTAAATATACCAGTATTTTGTCTAAAGCACCTGCTTTAACCCAAAAATAGTCATGAAGCCATTTTTACTTCCACACCCTCAAATTTTATTTTGTTATTTCTGAAACAAACATATATTCTGAGCAACATACATCTTTTGTTTAATGCTAATGTTTCAGACGGTACCTATTAAATGTCAGAGACTACTCTGCAGCTCCTGAGGGACACTCCACAATAGTACAGATCACATCACCAACCAATCAATTGTGAAATAAAGCCATCTAAGCTAGGTTAAACCATAAGAAAGGGTATCTTATGAAAAGATGGAAAAGCTTTATAGCAAAATATATTTTAAAAGGGGGAACAAGTACATTTTGTAATCCATTCTATGTGGATTTTTAAAATATTTTCACCTCTTCATAAGAATTATTTTAAGCAAATTTTTCTACAATACTTACTGTTGCTAGTACAGAGGATTAAAAATTGATATGAACATATAAATGAAGTGAGTTTCATTTTCCAAGAAACGGAAAAAAACATGATTTATCAAAACTGCCTAACATACCATCACTAGTTTTGATTAGCATTCTATTATTGAACAGAGGCACACAAATGTTAATCTCTGCTTATCAGAACACCCTCCAATATCTGTCGTTAGAAAGATCACACAATGAGAATTAAAAAAAAAAAATACCTGCTTGAATTTTTTGCTGATCATCTGTGCTTATCAGCTTCCAGCTTTCTGTGTGTCGAACAGCATAGAAAGACTGAACCAGGAAGATCCACAGCTTATCACGCAGAGCCTGGATCTTGCACGTAAAACCCTGTGTTCAAGCAACAAATCAGCAGCTGGTGAGAGCCACATTGTCATAGCAACCAGTCATTATTCCTTTCTGAATCTACTTACTCCTAAGCTAGATCAATGATGTCATCACTTAAGATTTTTTTTTAAATTGCTGGGTACAAGTTATTTATGAAGGTTTACTAATCAGAATTTTATAGGGAATGTGAAGTTAAATCTTACCTTTTCAGCTCAACATTATTTTAAAGTATCAATAGCTTTTATATGAATATCTTCTATAGTCTTCTAAAATCATCTATGACATTACAAGGTCAAATACTATGAAATAGTATTAAGTATGCTAAAATTTTTCTTCTTCAAGGGGGGGAAATAAAATAAAATTTTTCTTCTTACACAATAAAAATGGTAGTAATTTATAATTAGTATATTATTATGGATTACTTACATTTAAAAAACAATATGGTATCTAAATTGTTTTTTCCTTGTCAATTTAATTTTGAAATACAAGTTTTAAAAAAAGGAATTAAAGACTACATTAAAAAAAGATTAAAATTCTGAATATACATTTTATATCTGAAAATTTAATATAGTGATGAGAAAGTTACACTGTGCCAAATAATAATGCTATCAAAATCCACGTTTTAATAGAATGAGCTACACTGCCAAAGTTTTATTTTTACTTCTTTATTTTTGATACAGGGTCTACACAGCTCAGACTCGTAATGATCCTGTCTCAGCCTCCCCAGCATTGGGATTACAGGTGTGCAGCACCATGCCTGGTTTTGGTGGCCAAAATGGTGCACCTGGAACCATACTGGACTGTGCCAAATTTTAAACTTTTATAAAAAGTCCATTTGAAGGACAATGATATTAAAAATTTTTATGATGCAAAACTCAACACAAGTGCATGCCTGGCAAGCACAACGTCTTGAATTCAATCCTCAGTACTGAAAAAAACCAAAAACAAAAAACAAAAATCAAAACCACACACACACACACACACACACACACACAAAAGACCATAATCACAAGTGAAGTGTCTACCGCTTAGTTTCAGAAACCAATGTAACACCTAAAATGCCATTTAAAATCTTAAAATACTACAAAAATAACATTATTTTAATGAATTATTTTATATTCAGTACCATTTCCTTTGTACTTTCAGAGTTCAACAATGTGTCCAGAGCCATAAGAAGAGAGCAACTATTTTCAGTGGTAATTTTTTCTTCAATTGCTTTTAAAATTTTGTCCAACAGATCAGCTGTGCTGCTCATTGCTTGTGACTATGAAACACAGAAAATGCTATTTAATAAAAATTCATTACAATGCATAACAGATGTGAAAGTCTGGCACGACAGCAAAATAGTCATCACAATTATGTGAAGTCAAACAGAAATTATACTTTGAGACTATAAATGCTAAGCAAATAAATCAGATATAAAAGGTTAAATATTTCATGGTTATAACACAAAGTATAAGTAACTTAAAGAGTAAAATAAAAGATAGCTAATAGGAAACAAGATAGTCCTCCTGGAAATGGGAAGGGAATCTAGAGAGACAAGGAGTCTAGAGGAGGGAAAGGGTAAGTAAAAAGGATTAAGATGCAACACATACATTTTCCAATTCCTCATGATTAATTTATTTATTATATATTGTGAATATGTATTAAGAGAAAATAATGCTTTTGTCTTTCCTTTGTCTAAAAATGTACATATACACATATATACATATACACAGACATATTGTTTTTGAGAGCTAATGTAGCCCTGATAACAAAATTTAGAAATAATCAGTTTGAGAGAAAGTAGTTCCTGGTAAGACAGGGAACTCTGCGGGAACTATAATTGCAAAACATATTTACAACTTTGGTTTGTAAATTGTGGTAATGCTGACTGACAGCTAGTGTTGGCCAGAATTACAACGTGCCTTGCCAGGACACTCAAACTTGTTTCTCCTGTCTTCCTAATCTCATGAGCCAAAACTCCTGTCCATCACTGCTCTAAATCTGATGCAAATATGCCATCTGCTATGGAATTTATTTAAATCATACTAATTTAATCAAAGACAGCCTGCATTTATCGTATGTAATTAAAATTAGAACACAAAGATGGAACTAAATATAGGATATGATTTTAATTGTAGTACCTGTAGGAGAAGAGTAAAATTTTCACTCAGAATGACCTTGGAGAAGTTTTCTACAATAAATGCAATGCACTCTTCTTGGAGTTGAGCTGCCATAGTCAGTGCTGCCTCTGTCCACTTCACTCTGGGTAAACTGATGATGAGCCTGTCACTTTCCATCAGAAGAAAAGCAGCATTCTTATCATTCTTACAATTTAAAAAGTATGGGAAAGAAAAGTTAGGTGGTATTACTGCTCATAAAATAACTTTCTAAGCAATTAAATATTTTTGCTTTCTTTTCTTATCTTTTCATTTTTGCATCAGTTATTTTTATTTTAAAGAAAAAAAATAAAAACAATGGTACAAAATCTCAAAACAAGATTTTAGGAGAGTAACAATGGTTAGTACATTGTATATTGTTCCTGCCAAAGTAGTTTCTCATATTACAAGATATAGGCAAGAAATAATAAATAAACAACATAGGTACAAACCTCTGTTTTTTTTTAAAGTC